TCTGAAATGATTGAATTTTTCCTGATTTCTGGAATCATCTGATCAGTTATTAGTTTCCTGCTGGGCTGTTTGTGTTGCCACCACAGCAGAGCTTGACTTCACCCCCCCATCTTGCAGGAGCGGGTTGGTTATGACCTGCAGGTTGGACCAGGGTGGCCCAAAGATCAGAGCAGGTGATGTTGGAGCTGCAGCCCCAGATATCCTCCCCACAGCATGATGCAGCCGACACCATACAGCTGCAGCTCCAGCAATGGGTCCTAGTGATGAGAATCCCAGCAGTTCTAAAGCCCTTTAGAGACTCCGACCTCAGAAACTCATGAAATGTTTTCTAATTGGGTCTGAATCTGCAGAAGCTACCATCATCATCCACACAGATCTATGCCGGTAGAAGCAACAGCTTTCCTTCCTCCATCTGTCCTCTGAGGCAGAAGCCTTCAAGGTTTACATCATCTGTTCTGAAGCAGCTGAGCTGCTGCAGAACCGCTCCAAGGCGTGGTTCTGGTCCCCGCCCCGCTCCCCTGGGACTCAGGCAGCACAGCTGACACCTGAAACCGGGCCTGCAGGTGATCCTGCCCGAGCAGATAGAGCGGCCCGGCTGGGCGCGGCTCAGGTGTCAGCAAAGAGGAAAAGTACTGAGAGGCGTCTGTCTGATGGACGGGAAAGACGTGAACCTGCCGGATTATTCTGGCTCCATTACAGAACCACAAAGGAACCGGGTTAATCTGTCACCCTGAACAGCAGGCTGACGTAACCCCGCTGGCAGAGGAGGCGCAATGATGTCATCACCATGAGCCTCTGCTTGATGTGGAGCTGTCAGAAACTCAGATGGTCGGACCCAGAATTCAGGCCAGAAAATTCAAAGCATTAAAACAGTCTGTGGCAGAACTGCAGTGGGGGGGCGGAGCTCCGCCCATCACTGGAAACTCAGATTAGTGACCATGATAATCTGACAGTGGATGACTATCCAGGAGAGTCACTTACCTGGTTTGAAGTTCAGTCTGCCTCTATAGAACGCAGTAGGATCAGCCGGAGGTCTGCCAATTAGATGCGGCGCCCAGAGTGAACCGGCTGCTGCAGGCCTGGAGGGCAAGCAGGCGTCCGAGCCAGGTCAGGCAATCAGATCAGAACAGGCTGGTTCAGGGTTCCAGGAGTCTGAAGCCAAGTCAGGGATACCGGTCAGAACCGGAACAGGCTGGTTCAGGGTTCCAGGAGTCTGAAGCCCAGTCAGGGATACCGGTCAGAACCGGAACAGGCTGGTTCAGGGTTCCAGGAGTCTGAAGCCCAGTCAGGGATACCGGTCAGAACCGGAACAGGCTGGTTCAGGGTTCCAGGAGTCCACAGAGCAGTCAGGGATACCGGTCAGAACCGGAACAGGCTGGTTCA